TAAAAATCCAAGGCACCCCTTCGACCTAGCCAAGGCTAGTTGCGTGACTTAAACCAATTTTCCCTAATTTTTCTACCCAAGGTATGCATCGCGTGTTTGGATATGTCTATATGAATGCAAAAACCTAGACCTAGGGGGACATGGGGGAAATTTCTCTTCAAAGGTTGAGTGGTGCCAATCACATTAGTTGTGAAGCCCAATAATGATCCTTTTGGAGAGGTCACACCTAAACCTAAATGACGTGAAAAATGAGTGGAATGCATGCCATGTGAAAGTGTGAGTTTGTGTGAAGTGAGAAAAATGATAAAAGTAATAAGGTAAGAGTGAAGGTGTGCAAATGTATATGAAAGTACTCGTGTGCGAGTGAAGATAAAAATGTTCGTGTGCAAGTGAAGATAAAAGGGTGTATGTGTGCAAGTGAAGATAAAAAAGGTGCATGTGTGCAAATGAGACAAAGGTGAAAGTGTAATGATAGAGTGGATTGAGAATGCATGAGCCTAGGGAATTCATGCATATTGGGTACGGGGAGACCTAAATCGTGACTTGATTTTTCCTTTGATAGAGGGAATATAAGCGTGCTAAGGCTTAGAAAAAGCCACACTCGTCTATATCCCATATTTAAGGGGACTCTCACGCAAATGTACCCTAACTAGCATGAGATGCAAAAAATCCTAAAATGAGGGAAAAGGGGCTCGAGGAGCATGCCAAATGATAAAACTAAGAAAAATGCATGACATGTAGTGAACATGCAAATATGCACTAACAAAAAGGGATGGCCTAATGAGCCACAACTAGCATTGGACTAGTGTGGTGACGTACATTCATCCATTCCATTCATTCATGGTTATGAAAGCAAGTAGACATGCCAAAACACTCGTAAACACGTAGCACGTAGCACTTAGCATGCTCGACTAGATGCAAGAGCCTACTAAAGCAATTAAACATGTAGCAACAAAAACAAGCAACCAAGGGGAAGGGGAAATGGACCAGATGCTCTACGAGCCCTAGCTATTACAAGCCAAGAGGTGTACACATACCCCATGAAAACATAAAGGGAAAGGGTGAATGGACCAGATGCTCTCCGAGCCCCTATCTATTACAAGCCAAGAGGTGTACACATACCCCATAAAAACTTAAATAAAAGTAAAAAGCAAGTAAATGCACGCAGGGAGGTAAGGAAAGCGAAGTAGACATGCATATTCACATAACACGTAGGAGCACGTAGGGTCAAATGAAGTGCAAATGAGGGATAGAGCGTACCTCCCTTGAAGCGACGCCCTAACGTAGTGAAATTACTAATTTACCCTCCAAAATAATAAAAAGGTCAAGGCACCACTTTATTTATGAAAAATTAAAAGAAATGGGCAAAACAAGGCTCACTTAGTCATAAGGTCCCTAAAGTCATAACTTAAGTGCAATTTAAACTAGGCATGGTAATTAATTAAAACAAACAAGCAATGAAGTGGCACAACTTAAAATTGACAAGGACCAAAATGATGAAATTCTCTAATTGATTGGGTCATAGTGAAATAAAGGGGAACTTGGGGGGTTAAAAGACAATTTTCCAGAAAAATTTCCATGCAAGCCATGCACGGATATGAAGCTTAAACTTCTGCAAAAGGGAAAAAAATCAGCCATTTCTAAAGTCTTGTGCACTATTCCGGCCATAGCTTGCTTTTCAATCCATTGTCTTAAATGAAACAACATATAATCTTCATCCGAACATAGCCCAACATCCCAATCCAGCATCAAACAACAATTTCGAGTAAGAAAAACAAAGTTCAACATCCAAGGATAGCAAGAGAAATTCTGCATTTTTGCAGCGGTAAACAAACCATGTTTGCTGCAGTTTTTTGTTTCAATCCAAACGCATTGATATGGAACAAATCCAACCAAAACAAACACACATGCAACGGCCTTAAAACCATGTTATTAACATCATCCAAATGTCATTATTTAACTCCGGGAATCAAAACAGGGAATTGGGTACGAAATCAGCAAAAGAAGATGAACTTGGAGCATTGAAGGTTTCGGTCAATCAAAGTTTTCTTGTTTTCACCATTTTGCAGCTTGTTAACAACCCAGAAAAATTACATTAGACTTCAAAAAGCCATCATAAAACTTTAGATTAAATCATGCAAGCTAATAACCCATTCAAGGTGCATCCCAGGTTATATTCAAACACGGTTTCCTGTTGCAATTTTTCTGCTGCCAACTTACGGTTCAAACAACACAGCCGAAACAATTAAAGCTTCTAGCTTGCAAAGCAAAGGCAGTGTTATGGCCTGCTGTTATGCCACGCTTTGCTGCAATAAACTGCAGCCAGCGCACACGAAGACATCACCATTCAACAACAAACAGACCCAGTTGCATAATCAAACCAGACCCAAACCCCAGCTATCCGAAAAATCCAGTTTAGTAACATAGCTTCAAGGATGCAAAAATGCAATGTTAGCAACCAGATATCTTATGCAACCTAGGAAATTTGGGACAGGGGGAATGGTGTAATTTTCAGGCATCATGCTCGATGGCCCTTTCTGCAATTTTCTACCGCAAGCCTTGCAGCTCATCTCATACAATTATCATTATACTAGAGTTCGACTGAGACCTATCAAACATACTCACATAAATCGTAAAACTTCTATCTCAGGCCAAACCCACACATAAACAACCTTCATCAAGCAAGTTTTCCACTTTTAGGGAAAGAAAACATGTTCAAGGGCAAAACCCATCAGCAAACCCATCAAACGGCATAGGAGTAAATAAAAGAAGCAACTTTAGCCTATGAAAACCAAAGGAAGCGCACAAAAAATACAGCAAGCTTGAAGATTCAATCATCAGAGAAAAACTAATAAAAAAGAATGAAAACCTTACAGTCCTTACTCTCCCTTTCGATGTCCGCGGCTGAAAATGGCGTGACAACTTCTCAGCAGCTTCAATAGTTTCTTGGTTCGCCACAGAAACAGCACCAGATTTCGTTTGGCCGTCGCTCCTGGTTCCTCACTCTGCCCGACAGCTCTCCAATTTCCCTTCTTCCTCTCGGTTTTTTCTTATCCAGTACAACTATCAATTACCTGATTCTATTCTCTAGCTTCTGCTCTCGGTTTCTTTCCCCCACCCAGCTCTCTTTCTCTATCCTCCTCCCGTCAACACTCTCTCGGCTTTCTCTCCGTGAGTTTTCTTTGCTTCTGTTTTCTCTCCCCCTTGGTTCCCCTTGCGGCTGCTTCTCCCTTTTAGCTTTTTCCAGTTTTTTCCGTTCGCTCTCGGTTTTTCCTTAGCCCCAGAAAAACTTGCAAGCTCCTAACTCTCTCCCCCGTCACTTTTTTTTGTTTCTCCAAGAAACTCTCTCGGCTCTCTCTGATAATTTTTAGCCGTCGACCTTTCTTCCATCCCCCCCCCTGCGGCTGTCTTGCCTTTTTCTATTTATATCAAATGATCCTCCCTTCAACCCTAAAACCTCCGTCCTTTCTTCCTGTATTTGCAGCCCAAGGGGCTCACCCGAATCTTCACTTTGCAAGTCGCGGCAACTTGCATGCCGCGAATCAATTTCTTTTTTTTTTTTTTTTAAACTTAATAAATACAGAAATGATAAAATATAAATAATAATAACAAATTGACAAAAAACCAGGTAATAATAATAGTAATAATAATGAAAATAATTTAAAAACTAAACAACTAAAAACAACAAAAATGGCCATTTTTCCACCTTTTCACATTTTCTTTTTTCATTTTCATTCATTTTCTTTTCTCAAAAATAACTTAATAAAAATAACTAAAGTGCCCAAAGATTGAATTTAAAGAAATAAACATATTTTTGTGAACAAATTTTCCTTTTTCCTTTTTCTCTTTTTTTTCATTTTTCCAATCCAACTAAAGCCTATTTTTTCCTTTTTCTTTAATTTTCTTTTCTCCTTTTTTGTGATTTTTCATTTTCATTTCTCTTTCAAGAAAGCTTTGAATAAAAACAAAATGACTAAAACATATTTTTGATGTCTTCTTTTTCTTTTTTTTCTAAAAACTCTACGCTAACTTTAAACTTAAAAGCTAAAACCAAAAATTAAAACTAAAAGTAAACAACGAATGCAAGCAATCTAAAATGAAAATCATGAAACAGATGCCACATAAAAATTATTCAAAATTTGGTGTCTACACACACCATAACAATCATAAGAAATCAGAAAAATTCATGCACAAAAGAAAAATCCATCAATCTCACCCATAGGTCATGAAATCATCCATAAAATGACATGCTCTACCATTAGAAATCCTTAATTGATCATTATTAGCATGAGAGGGAAGATATTTAACACCTCACCTTTGCAACTCCAAAAAACAAGACAACTAGAGCTTGTTCTTCACAAATGGCTCCACTCAACACCTTAAACTAGCTTAGCAACTCACTTTTGTGGAGAAATTTGGAATTTAATCGGTAGGTTTGCAAGATTCAAGCTAGAAATGAAGGAAAATTGAAGAAACTCTCCCTCTCTTTCTCTCCTCCATGGCTGGCCAAGAGCAAGGGAAAATGAAGCTCATTTTGATCAATTTTTGGTATTTAGTAAAGTTGGTGAATAGTGGTCAAAACCAAGGTCCAATGAAAATGCGACACCTAGCATCTCTTTTGGCTTATAATTATCCTTTTGTCTCTCCACTCTCATCCATATAACAACCTCTAAGTATCTCTTAGCACCTGATAAAATAAATCCGTTATCCAAAACTTAACCTAACTGGCCGAATTTTTTCAAACTTTTCGCACTAGCGAGTCCCACGTCCGGTATATGTTCTTAATTTCTCCAAAACTAACTGATACTAGAAAAATCATCTAAAAACTATATTTACTCAATAAAATTATCTGGAGAATTTTCTAACAAAGAAAATGTCGAAAAGCCGGGCGAACAATAAAATAAACCCTAGAAACTTAGAAAATTTTCGGGTTCTCGCACTCATTCTTTTCGGGGCGTCACATACAAGCCAAAACCCAGGTAACTACAGCCATACAGCGAATGGCTGATTTATTAGAACGAATGGTCAACCAACAGGGTCAAAGCCAAGTACAGCATGCTGGAAATCATGAGGGAGAGGAGCGTGCCTTAGAACGGTTTCAGAAGTTTCTACCGCCAAAATTTTTAGATGGACCTGACCCTGATATAGCGGAGAGTCGGTTGGAGCGAATGTTAGACATTTTTGCTGCGTTAGGATACCCGAAGGAACGGCAGATAGCTTTCGCCGTTTTTCAATATGAGGGAACGGCTCGTGCCTGGTGGAATGTGATTCGAGCCAAGTGGGATAGAGAACAAACCCCATGGACATGGGTTAATTTCACTCGTGAGTTTAATTACAAGTACCTAAGGCCACTTGTTCTAGAAAGGCGAGAGGATGAGTTTATACGCCTACGTCAAGGGATTATGAGTGTGGCGGAGTACGCGACGCAATTTACTAAACTCTTTCATTTTGCTCCAGAGTCAGTGCTGACAGACCAAAGGAGAATTCGTCGGTTTATCCAGGGTTTGAATGTGGAGTTTCAAGAGGCACTGGCAGTTGCTCAATTGGAGACATATAGTCAAGCTATTGAAAAGGCACAAAGGATTGAAAGTACTAAGAATCAAGTAAAGGCTTTTCATGATAAGAAAAGGTGACAACCGGATACAAGTAGTTATATTGATAGACAAAGCTCGAGAAGCGAGCCACCATCTAAGATGAGTCGAGGAATAAGTGGTCCACGATCCACAGGGATCCCAAATCAAGGAAATGTTGAGAAAAGTCAGGTAGGGAGAGAAACCCAAAGGGGTACCTCACGAGGAGGTCCGACATCAGGACCTAGAGTGGCATGTGAATTTTGTGGGGCTGCTAACCACGTGGTAGTAACAATTCATTTACGGTTCTAATTTTTTTTCTTTTTTTCCGTTTTGCGATTTTGAATCGTGTAAGCGCGCTATTTTATTCCGGAACGTTTTAGATTGTGCATAACTGTCTTAGTAGTCCTGGCAAGATTTGGGCAGGCAGTCCGCTAACCCCTTTGGTACGCCTTAGGGGAAGGTCGGGCTGTCACAGTTTAAGCTAGAAAGGTGAAATTATACCTTGAACTCCTTAAATTCCAGAAATAAAACTCTTCACTGCCCTGTTCTGTCCGGATCTGTTCGACCATGATGGAGGCCGAATTTGGCTTAGCATAAAACATAAAGGTTGTAGGGAATGATGTTTTATAGCTTGCTGTAAAATTTCAGCCCAATACGAGTACTGTAACATGTGAAAAGACAAAAATACCCCTGACTGCCATAGGTAGAGCTCGATTGACAGTGTTGACATTTCACCAATCTGACTGCGTCGGTTCACCCTGATCCGTACTAAATTAGCCTCTGGCCAAAACACAGAAGTTGTAGTGTTATGTCTTAGCTTTCCAACGCCCCTGAAATCGCCTCAATCGGACTTCAGTTGCTTGAGTTATTGTCATTTACGCATGGTGCAGTTAACTAGCCAGATTGTGAGATTCTGGTTCTGGAATTTGAAATTTTGAATTGAATACACTATGAACTGAACTGAGTGGTCTTCATCAAAGTTGTAACCCTTTATCTTAGCTTCGAAATGGTATAAATTTCACCCCAATCTGATAAGCGTAACTTTAGTTGTGATCGTTACGCTAAGAGACATCGAACCTGTCTTTTTACGTTTTGCTTTAACCCTTATTTCCGGTCATTTCTATAGCATGGTTTTGTAATAGTATAATGTTGAGCCTATTGAATGGCTATTGAAATGAGATTATTTTGTGTGTGATTTTGGGACTGATTGAGGAAAAGAATGAAGCCATAAATGGCTGAAAAATAGGTAAACACAAGGGGCATGCCGCCCAAATTTTCACTAGAGGAATAAACTAGCCTTTGGAGTTCTAGTTCTGTATTTTGCAAATTTGACCTGGATCCAGTGAAAACTGGGTCGAGTTGTCTTCACGAAAGTTGTAACCTTTTGTCTTAACCTCGTGACGCTATCTAGTACACCTTGATCCGATAACCACAGCTTTGGTTATGGTCAAAACCGTGTAACCTATTTTTATACCTTTTTCAATTCCGCGCACGCGCGCATATATTTCTTTACCATTTTTGCCATTTTGATCGTTTTAGTCCTTATTTTCATTTATGATGGTTGATTGACTGATAGTTGAGTATAATCTTCTGTCACAGGCAGTGACGAACCGGACGGAGTCGATTGACCCTAATGAAGTAACTTGATTTGCGTGCTAACTCTTTTGAGTGAGTAATTGGGTTGTTTATTGACGTGAAATTATCAAAGTGCTTTGTATATGTTAAATGGGTACTTAGGCGAGGGTGTACTTTATCTCACTCGACCTAAGCCCATCCTTTGTTTTGATTTCATATGTGAGAATACATGTCTTATGTTGAGTATCACCCTTTTGCTGTGTGTTGATGGGGGTGATTACATGACTTAAGTTGAATCCCTTTTTGCTGTGTGCTGTTGGGGTAAGTACCTGTGTAGTTTGTTAAGCGATATCATCTATTGAGAGATTGGATATCTCAGGGCTTGGTTCCATGTCGGTTTCAAGGGTAGACGAACTATTCGAGCCAGTCAGGGCTTGGTCGAAGTTAGTTCCATGCTAACCTTGGGATTTCGTTCTTTGTTAAAGCTTTGATTAAAGCTAAGTGATTTTGTTTCACTCAAGCTGCTGTGTGCTGTTGACCGGCCTGTGGGGGTTGATAAGGTGAACGGGGAAAGTAAGTGGAGTTTACGGACCATGAGTACTTTGATTGACGATGTGTCAACAGGCATTCAACCTCGGGCAATTGAACTGTTTTGGAGCCACCCGTATCCTACCATTGTGATGTTGCCTTTCTGTTATTGATGTGAAATATCCTAATTTACTTGTTTATTTGGATGTGAGTTTACATTTTACCCCGGATTACTCACTAAGCATATAGCTTGCCCCATTCCATTTGTTTTCCTTAGTAGGGGGCCAACGCGGGGATCGCTTGGGAAGGTGTTTAGACTTTTAGCTATAGAATAGTTGAATTTGTACTTGATATAAGTTGACTAGTAAGATGTATATAGTTGTCGTGGTGGTTGTAGTTATCAGCTTTTCTAGGGTTTACTTTCTGGTACTCGTAGTATGTATGATTTGATGTACTAGTTTATGCAACTTTTGAAGCTGTAATAGAGTAAATAGAACTTTCTTTTAGCGTGAAATCTATTTTCGCATTTTAAGTATTGAGTACTGGTGCGAACTAGGCAGGCGTCCCGCCGATACGCTCGGGTTCGCCCTTGGGAGAGGTGGGGGCGTCACAGGTGGTATCAAAGCGCCTAGGTTAGAGGACTTTGGCAGTTGAAAAATGTGTTATAGAACATATAAGTATTCGATTGTCTCTAAGTTGAATCGTATCTATTAAGATGAAATGCCGGAGAACTGATTAAGTGATATTTTGTTGTGTAGGTATGGAGGACGGTGGACCTAGCGGTGCCGGAGTACGAGTTAAGAGTGTAGGCGGGCCGGTGAACCGGGTGGTACGCCGACGAGTACTCAGATACCAGAGGAGAGTCGGGGATCCCTATAGGCTATATTCTTCCTTCGGCCAGATGAGTCCATCGTGTGAGTGTCGACATACGTAAGGATACCCTGACGAGGTGGTTATGGCTATAGATGACGAGCGTCGTCACCTAGGCAGCACGGTCGACACTTTGAGGGCACAGTTGGATGAGGCCAGAGCGGTGAGTCATGCACAGGCCATGCGCCTGCGTAACCTCGAGACGGGGTTACGAGTTGAGGAGGAGCGGACGCATACCCTTGGTCGTCAGCTTGAGGAGACCCACCGCCACCTCTTCGCTTTGAAGGGGCAAATAAGAGAGAGAACCCGGGGGTTTTACGCTAGAATGTGAGGTTCTCTTAGATATGGCTGCCAAGGCACTACCTAGGGCTGGCGGAGCGGGGTCGATGGATGCGATAGACTCTATAGGCTCTGTAGGGGATGTTCGGTAGAGCCGTTATTCTGAGTTATTTTATGCATTTTTTTGGAGCTGGTGTGCTCATGAACGCACATGTTTTGTACTGGCTGGATATTAGCTGCTATGTGAACTGATATGCGTATATTTTTGGCGTGAATTGTATATATATGTATATGTTTTGATCTTTTGATTATTTCGTTCATTTTATAACTTTTCAACGCTTTGATCTCGTACCATATTTTGTCCCAATTATAGAAGTTATAAATCAATTAAATGGAGACTCGTGGTGGGGGTAGAGGACGAGGACGAGGACGAGTACAAGGAACCGAAGGGGTAACCAATGAAAATGTGAATATACAAGCCGAAACCTAAGTAGCTACAGCCATACAGCGAATGGCTGATTTATTAGAACGAATGGTCAACCAATAGGGTCAAAACCAAGTACAGCATCCTGGAAATCATGAGGGAGAGGACCGTGCCTTAGAACGGTTTCAGAAGTTTCTTCAGCCAAAATTTTTAGGTGGACCTGACCCTGATATAGCGGAGAGTTGGTTGGAGCGAATGTTAGACATTTTTGCTGCGTTAGGATACCCGAAGGAACGGCAGATAACTTTAACCGTTTTTCAATTTGAGGGAACGGCTTGTGCCTGGTGGAATGTGATTCGATCCAAGTGGGATAGAGAACAAACCCCATTGACATGAGTTAATTTCACTCGTGAGTTGAATACCTACCGCCACTTGTTCTGGAAAGGCGAGAGGATGAGTTTATACGCCTACGTCAAGGGATTATGAGTGTGGCGGAGTACGAGACGCAATTTACTAAACTCTCTCATTTTGCTCCAGAGTCAGTGCTGACAGACCAAAGGAGAATTTGTCGGTTTGTCCAGGGTTTGAATGTGGAAATTCAAGAGGCACTGGCAGCTGCTCAATTGGAGACATATAGTCAAGCTATTGAAAAGGCACAAAGGATTGAAAGTATTAAGAATCAAGTAAAGGCTTTTCATGATAAGAAAAGGAGACAACCGGATACAAGTAGTTATATTGATAGACAAAGCTCGAGGAGCGAGCCACCATCTAAGATGAGCCGAGGAATAAGTGGTCCACGATCCACAGGGATCCCAGATCAAGGAAATGTTGAGAAAAGTCAGGTAGGGAGAGAGACCCAAAGGGGTACCTCACGAGGAGGTCCGACATCAGGACCTAGAATGGCATATGAATTTTGTGGGGCTGCTGACCACATGGAAGATAATTGTTGGAAGAAAGGACAAGTTCGGAAATGCTACCGATGTGATAGTGCTGAGCACCTGATTGCTAAGTGCCCTCACCTGCCAAAAGAAAGAAATTTGCCAAGAGCAGAAGGGAACACGTCTAAGCCGACCAATGCCACGGGTAATCGACCGAAAGTGCCGGCAAGGACCTATGCAATGGGACATCAAGAGGTGACAAACCCATTGGCAATCATCGAAGGTACCCCCTATCTTCCATCGTATTGAGGTTTCTTCTATTCGTTTTAAAAGATTACTACCATTAAGGCCGATCTACGAGACATTTGAAGTTCATTGAAAATAAAGACCATTTAGACTTTGAGATAAGGACTACACTGTTGGTTCTTGGATTGAAATATATAGAGTGACCAATTCTTGAGGTAATCTTTACCACTACTGATGAACTCGTTAATGAGGTATTCGAG